AATAAAAAAAGTGACTCGGTAAACAAAGGGGTATTTTTAGAACTGATAGACTATAGTGCAAAAATTGATCCCGTTTTAGATAAACATCTTAGTGATGCCCATGTTTTTAAAGGAACTTCAAAAACTATACAGAATGAACTATTACAGTAATCTACATAATTATATCCTAACTGGGTTGGTTGATCGATTATCCACTTCAGCCCCCACACGTTGGAATTTTATTTCTCGCATTGTATCTAAGTAGCTACTTTACACACTGACAGTATTCATTTTGGGGTACTTGCAAAACACAATGACCTTCAAATTCCTTAAAATTTTTCGCCTGCGGCGCTAAGCGGGAGCTCCCGCCCCCCACGCCCCTCGCAGCTGTTATGATGTACTTCCTCTTTTCAGAATGCGCCCCCCCTGTATTCAAACCCACGGGCCGCCACTGCATAACAGCAAGACTTGTTTCATACTAGGTGAAATAAAAGATTAAACTGACGATATTCTGCCAAAGAAGTACTCCTGCAGATACATGCTTCGATATATAGTAAACAGATAAGATTACTAACTCACCTTTCGCTAGTAGGTACAAAGTAATACTTTGTGTCAGTAGGCATTGAGTAACAATGACATTTAAGAGGTTATATCTCACCCACACCTAAACTATTTATCAAATAGTAAGACCACATGTTTTCGTAGAAATGTGCGTGTAGGTATATGTCGCATTTTACCATTTTCTAAAATAGTTGACCGTCGACTGTCTGTCGTGTGCGTCTTGCCTTAATAATTAAGGTTGTTGATTAATATGTAACAATTTAGTTGATTCCTGTTAACAGATATGATGATACCTAAGTGCTTTCAAGCATACCTCGTCTGCGATATCAAAATGACATATCTGACATCAGTCTGCAGTCAGCAGCACCCCAGAATAGGCAATCTTGTTGCTATGGATGTCAATACAGAAAAATTGATCAGCTAGGTGCAAAAGAGCTGCATTTTGTACGATACGATAAAAATTGCACGAGATGAAGTATATGTAGAAATAATGTGTGTCTATTTGTTGATGCCTAATAAAATAGAGAACATATGCTACTGGTTCATCTAAAAAATTGTCGTCCGCTGACTGTCTGTCGTGTGCACCCTCACTAATAAGTTTAAAGCCGATCCATATCTGGTGATGTTGCTGACGAACGATCTTAGCTGTTTACTGGACATTGGGGATGTAATTCAGTGATATATGGAGCATGTGGCTCGCAAAGCAGTTTTTTGTCACAGTATCATTATTTATAAAAATATGAACAAATTGTACAGATACTAGAACAGTCTCATTGATTTTTTCCATTTGAATATTTCTATTGTATACGTGACTTACAACACGTGCAGATAGAGGGGGCTTATTGTATAAATATCTATGATTTGCAACTATAATTAAAAAGATAGACTAGAGCATCAAAGAAATCCTGTAATAAAGTTAATAGTACTAACAAACAGGTCAGGAAAAATTTTTCATACTTACAACGCTAGCACCGATTTTCTCCAGAGTCCTGCGTTTCCTAGTTTTCCTCTCTAAACTAGGCGCCTTGTTAGTAATCATTGCATCGGCATGACGCTTGTGTCTGCTCGAAGGTCGAGATGGTTGAGTTGGCACGACTGGTTGGAAGTTTGACGTTTTTATGGTTTTAAATGAAAGTTCACTTCGTTTATTACTTTCTGGCAATTCCTGTAAAACGAGATTCAGAAGTAATTCACATATTTCTTTTTACCATACACTTCGGAGCTCATGGCAACCGGAAACTTTTAATTCTATTCAATTTCTTATTCCAAGTATGAAAACATTACAAAAAATAAAAACAATAATTTTTTATATATGGTAGTTTCCATATGGATTCAACGAGCAAAAAAAATCGACCTCTTCAATTTTTTTGAAACTTTGGGATGTTAATCTACTTTGAATTTTATGACCCGTTTTTTTGTTTTTCTGATAAAAATTTTTGGAGCTCTGTGGCGCCATGTCAAAATTTACATCGTGACAGCGTTATTCTGAAAATAAAAATGCATGTTTTTTTCAAGTCGCTGTCGTTTTGACCCAAATCATCCTATCAAAATGTTTTTCTCATTTATCTCAGAAAATTTTAAAGTAATTGGAATTCTGAAAAAAAAAAAGGTAAAAGCTGATGAAATTCTGCACGTTTTGAAAAAAAAAATGTTTCGATAGGATGATTTAGGTCAAAATGACGGCCACTTAAAAAACATACATTTTTGAAACCGTATCTCTCGAACGAAGCAAGATGGCATATTGTCGTTTGGCTAAACATGGCTTATTTGGCCTTGAAAAAGATATCCAAATTTGGTGAAAATAAAAGGTGAGGTATTTGAGAAAATCAATTTTGAAAAAAATAACTTTTTTACTTTTTCTCATTTATCTCAGAAAATTTTAAAGCATTATGAATTCTGAAAAAAAAACAGATAAAAGCTGATGAAATTCTGTACATTTAAAAAAATATATATATATTTCGATAGGATGATTTGGGTCAAAATGATGGGCACTTGAAAAATATGCATTTTCAAAATCGTATCTCCGAACAAAGCAAGATGGCATATTGCCAAAAGATAGCTTTATTTGGCCTTGAAAAACATATCTATATTTGGTGAAAATAAAATGTGGGGTTTTTGACAAAATCAATGTTGAAAAAATGACTATTTCGTTTTTCTCACTTATCAGAAAATTTTAACCTTCCAGTCGGGGCGCCGGGTCTCTGACACACGGCCTTTCGGAAAGTCTTTGGCAAATCTCGGCAAAACTTCGTGCAGCGCTGTAGGTTCCAGTACCTTCCCACATCGGTCGTTAGTTTAATTGTAGCAAGTGGTAAAAATATAGTCCTTGTGATTTAGTTTTTATTATACGATAAGTCTGTGAGACCCGGCGCCTCGGTATGAAACAATTCTATTTCTTTGGTAAGTTTTAATTTTCTTTATTACAATATCGTAAATTTTTAGTAAAATTAGGCACATTATGGTGTTAAGTATATTTTTAAAAAATATATATAATATTTTAATTTTTGTTTTAGATAATGAGTTACGAGGCAGAACAAGAATGACTCCGTCGTCTATGGGATCTATGGGTCTAAGTCATCTTCAAGCTTGGTGTCCAACATGCTCAAGTATTGCCAAAAATCAATAAACATTAATTTTTGACTATAGTAACATGTTTATATATAAAAAAATATAAGTTTTCGTTTCGTATTTTTTTTTGAACCCACATTTTGAAAATTATGCTTTTTTTGTACTGTTTTTTGTTACAATATAATTTATGTATTTGTTTTTCATAACTTAAGTTTTTTTTTGTATTAATAATGTAAATAAAAGTTAGTTCTATTGTATAAATATGTCGTATTAACAAAAAAAATTGTTTACCAAAACAAAATGGCTACGGGTCTCTAAGACCCGGCGCCCCGTTTGGTGTTACATCTTAAAGCGCCCCGACTGGAAGGTTAAAGTAATTGAAATTCTGAAAAAAAAAACAGGTAAAAGCTGATAATATTCTGCACATTTTGAAAAAAAAAATGTTTCGATAGGATGATTAGGTCAAAATGACGGTCACTTAAAAAAACATGCATTTTAGAAATCATATTTCCGGAACGAAGCAAGATGGCATATTGCCTTTTGGTTAAAGATGGCTTATTTGGCCTTGAAAAACATATCCAAATTTGGTGAAAATAAAAGGTGGGGTTTTTGAGAAAAATCAATTTTGAAAAAAATAACTTTTTTCCTTTTTCTCATTTATCCCAGAAAGTTTTAAAGCAATATGAATTGTGAAAAAAAACAGGTAAAAGCTGATGAAATTCTGCACATTTTGAAAAAAAAATTTTTTTTTCGATAGGATGATTTAGGTCAAAATGACGGCCACTTAAAAAAACATGCATTTTCGAAAGCGTATCTCCAGAACGAAGTATGGTAGCAAATTGCCAAAAAATAGCTTATCAGGCCTTGAAAAACATATCCAAATTTGGTGAAAATAAAAGGTGGGGTTCTTGAGAAAATCAATTTAAAAAAAAAAACTTTTCCTTTTACTCATTTATCTCGGAAAGTTTTAAAGCAATTTGAATTGTAAAAAAAAACAGGTAAATGTTGATGAAATTCTGCACATTTTGAAAAAAAAAATAATTTCGATACGATGATTCACTTGCAAAAAATATGCATTTTCATAATGCTGCCACCATGTAAATTTTGACATGGTGCCATAGAGTTCCAAAAATTTTTTTAGAAAATACAAAAAACGGGTCTCATAAAATTCAAAGTAGACGTCCCAAATCGAAGATATGATAATACTTCATAGTTTTGAGTAAAAGTTTACAGTATATTATGAATTCGTTTTTTCTATTTCTAAAAATATTCTTTTGTTTGCTTTTCTCCACATTTCACAAAACACAAAATATTTATTTTCCTCATTTTGCAAATTAAATAACGCATACTTTTAAAACAATTTAATCAGAGGTAAGTACAAATGGTAAACAGCTTTAATACGGGCAAAACAAACAAAAGTCATAAAAATATATGGCACAGCTGAAGTACAACAGAAGGAGGGTGTTAACAAAGAAATATGAAATGGAAGGACATACGGATTCTTCTCCTTCGACAATAACGGAGAACTGGGTGGGTGGAGCAGATGCGGATTTCAAATTTCCAGTGGATGTCTGAAAAGGTGAATATTGGGAAAATTTCGACAATGTTCTAACCGATTTGTTATTGCTTATATTTTTCACCATCTCAGAAAAATTCTTCTCCGATGATACGGGACTTTCACACTCCCTGCATTTTACTACATCCGTTCTTTCTTCGATGATAATGTCATCGTATTCACCTTTCTTTTTCACCATGTTCCTCGTTACTGAGGTTATATCGGAGGGGATATCATTGGATATAATAGTTTCTGCTTCAACGTCCATTTTCCCAATGTCTCGCACCTCGAAATCATGCGAGCTTATCCAGTTCGACACCCTACTATAAATTTGATCTGGTAAGCCATCGGTTTCGTTCATTGTCAGTCTTTTAGACGGAAATTTACATTTATGATGAGAATTTAACTTCATACGACATTTGTAATTTGACAGGTTTTTATGACATTCACGGCTACTTAGTTCATGTATTATTTTTTTCAATTTTGATGGCAACAAACTACTTTCACCAACATATTCCAATGAATCGTCGCATAAAAATTTACAAGGGGGATATTTATATTTACAGCTCTTGTTGGAAAGAAGTGAAAAGTTAGTGTTAACATTTGAAATTTTGCAACTGCTCGTGCTGTTGCCTTTCAGTTTTCTTTTTGACTTTGAAGGGGATTTATTTATACTTTTCTTAGAGTGAACTGGTAAATTCTTGTTGGATCTTTTTGAAACGCATGCTTTGGATGAAATTGTTAATAAGTTCAAAGAAGAGACAAATTCAATTTGTTGGTATGTAATATTATTTTCACTTTGTTTTTCAAACAATCTAATTTTAATCAAAGTATCACTGTTTGACGAATATTCCACTACAGGCGATTCTTTCTTTACTTTTGGTTCTACGGAACTATTATTTTTACACTTAAGACTCGAATATATGTTTTTATAGCTTTTTTTAAACTTCTTGAAATAATTATTATTGTAAATAGTTCTGCAATATAATTTTCCGTCTCTAATTTCAGGTATGTCTTGTTTAACACGAAATTCTGTTTCAATTTCTTTATCCCTTTCAATATTGCAGTTTTTACAATTCTGCAAATGTTGTATTTTAGAAGAACCGTCGCTTATACTACAAGGGAAACGTACAGTTGTGACACTGTTTTTTTCTGCGGTTGCCTCCATTTTAATTTCAGGAATTACTGAAAGTTTACTTTTCTTCATATGTAACTTTTTCTTTTTTATTGATGTTTTACTCTTTGTCTTTTTAGTCTTTTTCTGAAGTTTCGATATTAAACCGTCAAAATTATTCTTTTGATCAACCTGTAATATTTTATTTGAAGCCTTTTGGTTATTTCCCATTTCCACTGTACAATTATTATTGTTAACATTATAAAATAATTTTTCCGAGTCACCTTTAGACAGAGAATTATCAGAATTGCAAATTTCAGAATTTGAGGGGTCGATTGTTGTTTCGTTCGTTGATTTACTTGTGGTTTGTAGCAGTTTTTCGTGTTCTCTTTGCATTCGAGGTGAGGGTTTAGACTTTTTCTTTACGTCCATTTTATTGATCTCGGTACAGTATTTACTCTGAACAGATTTGATTTTCTTTTTAGTTTGTGTGGAACTTGTTTTAATTTTTAAAGCCTTAATACATTTGTGTCCTTTTGAGGCAGGTATTTCAGTACCATTGATAGCAGTTCTAGACTTGTTTTTGTTTTCTACTTTATCCTTTACGTGATGTAATGCTTTCTTTTGTTGTATTTTACTTGTGGTAGAACTAGATTTGGCTTGGGATAGGGTAAGACTTTTGGGAATTTTTGAACGCAGTTTCTAAAATTAAGAAACTGTGTTACAGGACAGTGTTACCTAATTAATTAGTATCATAAATTATGTTGGTACCATCTAAAGTGATAACATTAAAAATTGTAAATTTTTTTAAATTCTTTTATTTAATATAAGTTAACTATAAAAAGATTTACTATTCTAATAGAATAGTAGTGGATGCCAGACTAAATATTGATATACAAGGTGTTTATTAAGTACTTGTACAAACTTT